CTTTCGTCCAATTATATCACCAGATACCATTAAAGTGACGAGTGCATCCGTAGACATATACAGACAGATCACAGAAAAATTAAAATAGAATAAACTTCGATTGCGCACAAAGGATTTTTAATTAATCAATCGATATCTAATCAGTATTGAAGCTTGCCATCACTACCACACGTGATATTACCTGAAAGTTTAAGTTGTCTGTGAGATGATTGTACTTGTGTGTTCAACAAGGCAACATTCTTTGGATTCGGATCCATCTGTTGCAAATGGAACGGGTTTGATTCACCAGAAAATAACGGTTTTCTACTCCCTTCCTCATGTATACTCTCTCTAACTGACAGAAACACGTAAAATCCCTTGAAAAATGGCAAACTTGGATAACAGAACATATGGAAGTGCTAATATGCAGTCATCTGGGTGTTCGAGTTATGGATCAACGAAAGCTGAACCAATGGCATCAGTTACTGGAGTCGATGGATTATTCCCGGGCGATGCTCCAAGCTCTGCACGATCAATGCTCCATCGTCATTATCCCCACGTCCCAATTACTCCGAGAGCGCTTCAGGCGTGCCACATTATTTTTGCAACTGTTGCAGGCTCAATCCAACGAACTGATCGAATCGGAAGACACCGCGTTCACGTTCTCCAGCATGGACGGGGATGAATTGAACACACATCTGAACCCTCCGAGACACACGGAGTTGCCCGTATCCGTCCAACTCGAACTGGCTCGCGTACGAAAAGATCAAATTCAGGCATGTCTTTAATTTGAACATGCATTTTGACCAATCCGATTGCTTGCGAAATAGAAATGAATTCGGTCAGGCACTTGCCGCTAAAATCACGTCTCGTTGTGTTGTTTTTGAACTCAGTAAGCTGTCGTTCTTTTTGATGACAAAGTAGCATCGAATTATCCTATTGAAAAGCATAGTGATGATATGGAATATTTCATGAGGAATGTAGTCCTATACAGAAGGAAAAGCGAACTGATAAGGAGATTCGTTGCGATGTACAACCTTTTCAACCTTATTTGGCCTCAGCAACATGCATACAAAATGAATGCTCGCTAGCCCCCCAAGTCCTCTCATAACCAAATAAAATCCGAAGTTATTCATCATCGGTAATGCAGAATACTTCGAAAACCATTTTGCTTTGCAGACGAAGCCCTATATATATATATATATATATACATATATATATATATAAAAACACCCCTCGGGTCGTTCTGAGAAATCTCCCAGCGGTTTTTCCTTAAAAATACATGTTTTCATGATGCACAGAATCGACAAATATTGTAAATCATTTGTACAGAATATAGATACTAATTCTTTCGCCACAAGTATTCCTCATTATCGATTTGGAGTGGATAAAAATGTAAGTTAGATAAAATCTTGCAGTATCAAAATAAATAAACCACTAAGGATTTAGTACTGAATGTCGAATGCAAGTGGGGCAAATGATAATAGCAGGATTCTGGTTCAAAAACAGTTGTTGCTCACCCCACCCCCCCGTTAATACAGGTAGATTGGATGCATACCAATTGATTTTTTTATCCCTTTTCACATTCGAGCATTTATTTTTGCTTTACCTTAGCTTGCTCCATTTTCAGACGGTGTTTGTTCCTCTCCGACCGGACAAGATGATCATACATATAGTGATAAGCTAATGGAAAATTTCAGTTGTATGGCCATTTGTTCCATTTGGTTCAATATTTTGTTTGCTATCATTATAGAGTAGCTTTCATTTGTTTGATCTATGCAGACTACTTATTGGACCTCGATGGCTGAAACAGGACTCCAGAGTTAGGCGCAGTGGTGTAGTCGCTGTCACCGGCATTCTTTGGACCCTATGGTCCGAGGTTCGAGCCCCGACACCGCCACCCAACTTTGGTCTTAGGCAGCTCTGCTGTCGTTCGTTCCAATACCACGCCTAACCTAGTGGGGCCTTATGTGGTTCGCCAATTCAAGTCCCGAGGATTAGGTTGCCAGTTTCCACCACTAAGCAGAAGGTCCTCGTGACTATGGAGTTCGTCCCCTCTGCTGTTCATCACGTTTATATGTGTAATAAGAAAGTTAGCAGCCGTTGGTCATTGTTACAATATAGCATTCCGATTGAATTTCACTCATATAAGAAATAAACTATCACTTCTGGTGTGATCCATTTTTTGCCCTGTTATTGCTCATGTCGTTGGTCACAGAAGTGTTTGACAGCAAGCACTTGAAACGATGTTCCTCACTGTTAACCCCAAGCAAAGTCCAAGATTCCAATGCGACACATTCACTGAATGTTTTGAGATCGGACCGTGTAACTCGAAATTGTCTAACCCATATTTTTCAGTGATTTTCTATTTCCTACGTTCTAGCAATTGATCGATACTATTAACCAAGAGCAAAACAGTGTGCTAGAAGAGGTGAACGATCTTTCAGACGTTTTGCACAACGAGATCCGAGAGATCAGAGGGATTGACCTATCTGGTCCAGCTTATCAGGAGCCCAAATCCGCGAATTCTTTGGAAGTTGCCCAACTGGATCAAGCGTACAAGGAACTTCACGAAAAATTGAACGCACAACTTACACGAACAGAGCAGCTGGTCGCACGATTGCAAGCGCAGGTCCCTGTGAACGGGATTAGTACGGATAACCAGTCACACAATCCAGACATTCCAAATGGGGAGTCTGAAGAATGGGAATCTGACGTACGTGACAGTATCTATGGCAGTTTCCATTTCATTCCACGTGACACAAACTCTAGGCTACTTCTTTGAATTGTGGTCAAAAAAGAGCCTTCTGTCCGGTCTGGTCATTATGAATTCTAAATTGCTACTTGCTACACATTGCATAGTTAGACTGGAAAATATTCATCTTTTGATTATCACATCCCTTCTTTAGTGTTCAGGCAGTCATCAAAACAAATCAAATCCTTGATTTCTCCCAAAAAGTTTATATGTTCTCATATCTATTAAAATGTTCGCAAAGATACTCCGGATTACTTATATTAAAAATACACAATGTAGGCGAACAAAAGGTTTACGTGGATTCCTTTTCTAGCCATTTCAAACACATTAATAATTACTTGAAAAGGAATTCACCAAAAACTATGCTCGCCTACATTGTGTATTCTTAATCAATAAGCATAGTTCGTGGTTGTTCTTATACTTTTCTTTTATGCTTATGCTTGTTATGGAAAACATCATAGGAAAATCTCTTTTCAATAGAATGGAAGCGATCAATCAAAGGGCTGTCCTACGATACGAAGAGGTGGTCAAGTTAGATTTCGATGGTGATGTTCGAACACGACTTGAGGGGCGATAAATTGGAGAGAGAGAGGAGTAATGAGCAGATCATGTCGTTTAGCTATTGAAGTGTGCAGTTTCGTAAATCACGGTTTCTATCCCTGAGTTCTCTGTCTTAACCCGAGAGATCAAACCGCATGGGATACCAGTAATGGTTCCATGCTGTTACTTTGTGCTGGCAATTTCGCCGCAATAATGTCCACCCAAGGTGCGTCTATTTCAACTGCCAATAATCGTTAGAACCAAAGCAATGTTTCCTGTTGGTTGACAGGTACCGGAAAAAGAGCAGTCTCATATGTGAATTGTGCAAAGACCAGTGACCTAGTTAGGGTTTGAGCTCATGTACGACCACCCTAAGCTTTTCTGCAGTGCATACTCTACCAGTCGAGCTACAAAACCACACCAGTGGGTGACCCAAATGCGACAAAGTCTCTGCTATGAGTGTGTTCTCGTATCTCAGGTGGCAGTGTGCATTGGATAAAGCGTAATCGGCCTACATACATGGGTTCGACTCGCATTGAGGTTACCGATTTATCACATGTCTGTAGTTGACTTCTTAACAGTTGGCTTCGAAAAACACCATCCTCTCTTGTTCGCGTTGCGTATGACTGAATGCTCAAGCTGATGAGTTGGATTAAGTATGGACTGCTATTGAGTTGGTTTGTGCCAAAGAGTCCAGGCTAGTGGAATCATTTGCTTGTTGATGTTTCTTTTCTCTTCTATAGTAGTCATTACAGAATATCCCTCATTCTTCCCAATGAAGTAAATGTGTGTGGCAAAAGCTTGTCGACTGCCATTTTCGTTCAATAAAGTCGATGACCATATTGCTTATAGGCTGCGTATGGCCATTCCAAGCACTAAATTAGTTTCATCATATGGGTTGTTTCAAGATGACCTGCTAATCAATACGGGGGACTGTAAGGGCCACATATGCGATTCCTCTCTGTACAGATTCCAGTAAAAAAGGTACTTCAGAACAACATTCAGTTTCTAATAAACCGATATATTTCCATCGCGTTTCACTTAGAATAGCCAAATGAGCGATTCTTTTCCCCTAGTCCAATTTGTAGACTCGAATCTCGTTGTGAATACATAATCCTCTCTACACAATGAGATACGATAAATCAATAGTAATTTTGATTTTCTCATTTGCTCATGCATATGTCCTGTTCTTTGTTTATCCTTCTTCTACCTTGCCGCCACCGCCGCCACCACCACTGATGCCGCTGTTTTCATATTTGGATTATTTCGTACCTATCTCTGATAGTCTGGCTTTCCGTGCGAGCCACTTATGGGATTTGGAGAATCTGTTTCGAATCTGGTTGCTGATCAGATTGTTCCGCCCAACGAGCTCACGGATTCTGTTACAAACCTTATCCCATCAGGTAAAATCGTTCAGCAGCATATCCCGAAGCATACGATCAAACATCGGTTAATGAGAATTTACTATCAGTGAACCTGCCTGTTCTCAATTTAAAGGCTGTCTTGTCCTCAACTGTACATGAAATCTAAATTGTTGAAATAATCCCACAGAGCACATTTCAAACAAAACAACAGAGTGGCGAACAAGCTCGTTTTCAGAGATTCTTATTCATGCCAATACATCTCAATATATATCACTACAAGGGATTAAAATTGTCATGGGAAAATAAAATAAAATAAAAACACATTACTAAAACCGATTTCATCGTGAGACCGGAAATCGGGTTCACCACGATCACATGTTTGTTTGTCCGCTCATCCGACCATCGAGATTCCTCACGATGCGGTTTGTATGGGGGGTGGGCCAGGGAAGCTTTAGCGCGAACTACGAACTCACACAATTAATAAGCGGGGTTGAAGACACTAAATCAACAGGCGCATAATTTCAAAGGTGATGGAATTCTGTGTGTGTATGAAAAGCACTAGGCAGTTTACTCGTCCTTGTTGTGGTAATGCCTGCCACGTTGGAGCCCTAGCCGGGGCTCAAGCCCCGAACAGAGTCGAAGCCCTTACCTCTTCTATGGCATTGATATGTACGGACTTTCTGCCTCTTCAAGGAGTGAAACCAGCCTAGATACACAATACTCAAATTCTGCTTTTTACGAAAATGTCTAATTATTGTAGCAATGCGTTCAGGCTGTTGATCATTGGCAATGGAACTCTCAGGGTTAAGAAAATTGACTTCTAATCGTAGTATGACTGTTCGTACAAGGAGGCATTCGACCAATGTTCTCTGCTAGTTATCGCACAATCACTTAAACATTTTTGGGGACTTTCTATTACTTACTGTTATTATTAGCATCATGGAGTATCTCGGGTACATAGTTCATGCGACACTCGTAGTAGTAGCATTCCAGTTTTTTATCCGTTCAAGAATGCAACTCTAACCGTAGTGATAGATGTGAGCAGACAAACAATTGCAAAGGCTTGCTTTAGCGACAAATCAAATTTACGAATGTCCCCATGCATTTCACGTACATTTTACATTTTGACGCAAACAGTTCACTCATCTGACAAAAAGCAGATATCGCTGCTGTTCGTTTGCGGTCACTTGTTGTACACTGAAGAAATGCACACGCGCTCACGACTGACCATTTCGGTGATCATTCCTCTATCCACGATCTCGTAACACACCCAATCATGTACACCTCCGGGATTTTAATGTGTTATTCAACCGATATTAATTTTTTCGGTCTATCATGCCAGACTGGTTCCATGGATGATATCGTCTTGGTTGTTCTTGTAGACTTAGCGCTTATGGGTAAATTTGCGATTAACTGTATCTTATATGGTTCCGATATGCTTAAAGTGTCGTGTGCTACGTTGCATTCCGAGTCACAACATTGCGAAATACCGGTACTTTTTGATGCATACTCATAAGTAAACAGTTATTTTTGTATCGTATAAGAGCATTTTGTGTTGGAAGCTCACCTTATCTTTCGACGAGACTGCACCTTGACGTGGTGTGATGTCTTGTTCACCTCTATGACCCAACAAGCTACACAGTATGGCTTTTGTCTAGCCAAAGATCTAATCATGCCTGGAAGGTCAATGGG